ACAAACCATCGAATCTCTTTGAGACGTCTAAAAGATGCAGAATAAAAGCCAATTCGGCACACACCGGTCTTTAGGGGACAGCTACTTGTGCGGGTTTGTTTGGAAGCAAAGGTACCAAAAAATGGGCCTTTTCATACAAAATATTAATGACATGTCTCAATTTCACCCTCTTCAATAAAAGCTAAAAATACAAATTTCATATCCTATTTTTTAATCTTTTTGGCTGGCGTGGGTTAATCTTTTGGCGGGGCTTTCTGTAAAGGATCCGAGAAGTCATAGCCTCGAAATAATCGGTCCATTTAGGAACGCCTTCAATGGATGACATTCATGGCGCTGTTTTAGAGGTCCAGTGTTTTCAATGTTCGATGGATACGGAACCAGCAAAATCGGTTAACTCCGCTACAAAACTAGTATTCTTTCTATTTCGGAATGAATCAAAACTGCTCGGAAATCTGTTTATTTAACAGATCACTCAGCCAGTCAACATATGCGTTCCCTGAACAAGCAAACTTGTTTATTGGCAAAGCCCTCCTTCCTCAACGTGCCAGACGAACGAAATAAAGAGACTTTCAAACAATCTGCGCCTAAGCTCCACAAATTTAGCTTCTTCATGCTTTAAAGGAAATCCCAATAAAATGAAAGAAAACAGTGCATCTCAAGTACTCTGGAGTTCGACAGAAATGATTCTCGATTTAGACGATTTAAACAGACAGTCAACGGTTTTCGAGAAGTGTGCAGTGATTAAAGCCATTAGCCTGGCTAACTCACCAATTGATTTTAGTAATATGTTCGGTTCCTGGAAATTTCAGTTATAGTTTAAATCGGACCGGTCCAATGACCCTTCGCTTCACTGGTTTGGCCCGCTAAACAGTCTGACATTTCTATCTTTGTAATGTACTACTCACAAGGTTACACGAGTTGTCCAACGAGGGAGTAAGATTAAGCTCTTCTTAAGAGTTTTCAAGCATACTCCGAATTTGTTTCTCGATGATCATGGACGACCGTTTACTGCTCATCGGCATGTCTTCAAAACGTATGTCAGGTTGCAAGTGTACGAGGAATTCATCCGATCAAACTTTTTTCAGCCAGAACCATACCTGGCGTTTTTTCGTACACAGATATCATCAAAATCAGAAGAGGCCATTTAACAACGAATGCAACGAGACTTCAAAACACACAGAATCGACAGCTTGACGTCTGGAAGTTTAACGAGGTGAGTCTGAGAGCATAATCGCCCGGGCACACTATGTGGGTATTGACTTTGAGTGTGCCACGCAAGTTGTGGACATGAATAAACACGAAGTATTCAACATGTGCACAACTTCAACTTATTCGATGGGCGATTTCATTGAATTTGCGGATTATGTTGTCTGGCTGACTAGTTAAGGTCCAAAACTGCTGACAGGAATGTTAGTGATTCGAACCTAACCTCGGTGTGTCACGGGTCAATGTCTAGGCTTCGATATTCTAGCAGCGCTCAGTGCTCGTGAGTCTTTCGGTGGCCTGGCAGCTACAGCACACAAAAAACCCTTCACAGCCTACTGATTATGTTGCTTTCATACAAGAACACAATAAACGCCAGTTATTGTTGCTTTTCTCTCTTTCATCATCATCATCACCATCGACAGCATGACATCAGTGCTCAAAACCAATGCTTCACTGCCGTACAGCCATGACTTATTTGAAAGCCTTATTGTAAAGAAAAGAATAAAGTCGGATGGGGAAGGGACTTAGTGCTAGCTTAACACAATCATTCCGAGGTCCCTACGCCTCCAGACATTCACTCAGGCAATCTGGATAGAAACTGACAACAAGAACGCCACTGACATCGGTTGGCAGCCATGTCTTGTAGTGTCTCCAACCAGGCACAGTGAGGCTCACACGGTCCCCATCCTGGAAGTTGAGTAGCACCGATAACACCCAAGCGTTTCGTGATATCCTTCATACTCCTCTGCCAATTCAAGGGTTGGCCACCTCTCTGTTTACGCCACTCTGAGTTGGGCATGGAAAACAGCACTCTATTCGGCAAACGATGGTTCGGCATACGTAACACATGTCCCAACCAACGCAGTTTCCCGTGCTGGACACATTCTTCGGTGGAAGTACCCGTTACACAACCAAAAACACGCTCTCTAATCATCTCGTTACGGAATCGCCGACACCAAGCCACACGAGCTATGGTTCTGAGACAACGACTGTCGAACACCTGAAGACGTCTCAGGTCCGCTGGAGGCGAGATGGCCCAAGTGGTTAGAGCGCGAATTTACTGACCGGAAGGTCCGTGGTTCGAATCCGACCTCCGCCACTCGACTTCCCCTGTCAAGGCTTGGGTAACCTGGCAGTATCCCAGCCCTCCGGCTTCTTTCGGGTGGCATGGCAGCTAGGCACCGAAAGGGTGCTACAGCTGAACGCTTTCTTTCTTTCAGATTCAGGGATAAACCATTCTGGCGCCATAGGTGTCTCAAGTTAGCAAACGCGGCCCGAGCCTTGCAGATTCGTGCATTCACCTCATCTGTCACACTACAGTCAGAACTAATACAACTTCCAAGATGCGTAAAACGCTCCACAACTTCCAGTGCCTCTCCCTGGATTGTAAGTATCGTGTTCAGTGACTGCACGTCCACAAGCATGACCTTACACTTTGTGGGTGCAAAGTGCATACCAAAGGACAGGATGACTTTGGTCAGTTCATCCAAGAA